ATCTGAGTGAATCGCTCCGGACAGCCGAATTTCTGCATGATCTTCCACAGTCCTTCACGATTCACCGTGTCGAAGGCTTTTGTCAGGTCCACGAAGGTAGAGTACAGGTGAGTCCGCATCTCCTGACACTTCTCCTGAAGTTAAGGGGCGGCGAAGATCATATCCGTGGTCCCACGATGACGACGGAAGCCGCATTGGCTTTCCGGCAGAAGGCCCTGTTCCAGATGGTTATTGAGGCGGTTGAGCAGGATGCGCGCGAAGATCTTCCCGGCGATGTTCAGTAGGGAGATGCCGCGGTGGTTGTCGCTGACTTGGCGATTCCCTTTTCGCTTGTATAGGTGCACGATAGTTGCGTCCTTGAAATCTTGCGGGACTTCACCTTGACGCCACATCTCCTGGAAGAGCGCAGTCAGGTGATCCATGAGTTGGGGACCTCCGTGCTTGTAGACCTCAGCAGGGATTGCGTCCGATCCGGGTGCTTTCCCGCTGGAGAGTTGCTGCACGGCCCTGATGGTCTCCAGGAGAGATGGCGGGAGGTCGAGGTCCACGTTGGTCGCCACTTGCGGCAAGCGGGCGATGGCGGCGTCGGAGATGACGGAAGGACGGTTGAGGACGCCTCGGAAATGCTCGGCCCATCGCTGTAGGATTTGCGTCTTCTCAGTCAGGAGAGTGCTGCCGTCGGCGCTGAGGAGAGGAGCAGTGCCCTTCGTCGGCGGACGATAGACGGCTTTGATCGCGGAGAAGAAGTTCTTCCATTCGTTGCGGTCCGAGTAGCCTTGGATCTCCTCAGCTTTGCCAGCAATCCAGGCGTCCTGCATCTCGCGCAGTCGTTGCTGAAGTTGGCGACAACTGCGGTAGAAGGCAGCTTTGTTATCCTCAGTGGGATGATCTACGTATGCTTTGTGTAGGCGGTTCTTCTCAGCAAGCAGATTGCTGATGGCGGCGTCGTTGTCGTCGAACCAGTCCTGGTGTTGGCGGGGAGCGCGACCGAGGACGGCGAGCGCCGTCGCCTGGACCGTGTCTCGCAGTTGACACCAGCGGCTCACCACGGAGGCGTTCTCGGCAGCGGCGGCGGCGTCGTCGGCGGCGGCATCGATGGGAAGGTTGTCTAGGCGTTGAGCTAGCTCATTGCTGAAATGAAGATGGTGAACGTGCAAAGACAACAAGGCAACATTCAGCTTACCTGGGGGTCTCTTACCTTGTGGTCTCCTGCTAGGCTGTAGGCGAATACGCATCTTCGAGATGACGAGGCGATGGTCGGTCCACCCGTCAGCACCCGTGATCGCCTTTGTCACCAGCACGTCGCGCTGATCTCGCCTCCGGACGAGGACGTAGTCCAGCAGGTGTCACTGACGCGACCGAGGATGCCTCCATGTGGCCTCCTCTCGCTCCGGCAGACAGAAGAACGTGTTCGTCAGGATGAGGCGGTGTTCTGCGCAGGTGCGGAGCAGCAGCAGGCAATTGTCGTTTGATCCGCGGAGACCGTGGGGACCCAGCACTCCCCTCCAGGCAGTAAGGTCTGTGCCGACGCGGACGTTGAAGTCACCAAGGACAATCAACTTGTCCGCCTTCGGCACAGTCGCCAAGAGGGCGTGCAGATCCTCGTAGAATTTGTCTCATGCGGTGGCGTCGGGGCTGGTCATCGGCGGAGCGTAGGCGCCGATGATGGTGGCGAACTTGCCTCCTCGCCGGAGAGACAGGCGGAGACTCATCAGGCGGTCGTTGATGCCCTGCGGCAGACAGGGCAGTCGTCCCACGATGTCAGTCCGGATGGCAAAGGCGACATCCGCGTCTCGTCGCTCTGGCCTGGGCCGACCACTCCAGAAGAAGGTGTAGCCGACACCCACCTCCTCCAGTTGGCCTTGTTCGGAGAATCGGGTCTCGCTGAGTGCGGCGATGTCCACCTTGTAGCGCGCCAGTTCTCGTGCCACGAGCGCCGTCCTCCGTTCCGGTCGGTTGCTCCTCGGATTGTCTAAAAGGGAACGAACATTCCAGGCTGCCAGAGTGAGCGGAATCACCCTGTCAGTCTGGCGACTGCGGCGGCGAAAAGTAGGAGGAGAAGAAGAAGAAGAAGAATAGGCTGTTAGAGGAAGAGTGTGATTGGTGTTGTTGTTGTTTCGATTTTGGCTGTTCCGACCGTGTGTTTTTTGTCTGCGGCCACGGCCAGCCTACAGACAGTGTGGTTCGCAGCGATCTTTAGGGTACCTTTTCTAGCCCCCTCCCCCTCTCGGGGACAGGCAACGCATCCCTGAACAGGGCTGCCCGGTTATCCCAGACGGCTGCCGGACTCCACTATGGGCCACGACTTTTTGTTAGTGAGAGAACGACCCGAATTAGCCTAGGACCTTTGTGGTGATGCTGATGTGATGGACTGAAGCAGGAGAGAGCATACACACAACCTAACGCTATGGGACTTACAGCTAGCAAGAGTGGGCAAACAGACACAGTCATCAGTCAGAGACAGAAGTGAGAGGGCACCATTCAAGTGTCAAGCATTGTAACACCTAGCTATTAGCATAGAGAGGCATAGACTGACAGACAGGGTCGCAGCAGTCATCGAGGGTTTCGTATGGCTATTAACAGACAGACTAGCATACAGAGAGCAGGCAACAAGAGCAGCGTACGACACGGAACTTCAACAGACAAAAAGAAGAAACAGAGCAAATGCACTTACATGAGGAAAAACTTACCTAGTGGCCTCGTGCGAAGGTCCAGGCAGAGCCTCGTCACGACGATGTCGACGCGAAGATCCATCCGGCCAGTGCAGACCACAGTACCGCCGTGGGAGCAGGTACGGTGACCTGCGCAAGGGTTTATATTGTCATTATACGTGCGTTGCATCTACCTACACTCTCTCCTCCTCGCCCGCCTGAGCCCGGTGTCAAGACAGAGTCAAGAATTCAGGAGACGAGGGAAGCCGCATGTAGATGGCTCGGTCGAATCCTCACATTGGCGTCCCATTCCGCAAACCCTGGTCCACACAACAAGTGACCAGGATCTTCACCAACAAATCAGGGCTTGGAGGCTGTCACGGACGATGCCGCACCCAGGCGTGACGCCAACTCTGCAGGGAGTGCCATAAAGACCACAATAAAAAGGAGCCATTGCAGTCTGACTCTCAGACCCCCACCAGTTAAGGAGGAGGCCAAAGTTACCCCGTCAGTTGGCAACCGTCCAAGCCACGGGTTAGGGTTGAGGTTTGTGTTAGGGCTAGGCTTGGCTCTAGGTTAAACGTTGGCGTTTACATTAGGGATAGGGTTAGGGTTAGGTTTAGGGTTAGGGTTAGGGTTGTGGTTTGTGTAAGGGCTACGATTGGCTTTAGGTAAACTTTGGCGTTTGCATTACGGTAAGGGTTAGGTTTAGGGTTAGTGTTGTGGTTTGTGTTAGGGCTAGGCTTGGCTGTAGGTTAAACGTTGGCGTTCGAATTAGGGTTAGGGTTAGGTTTAGGGTTAGGGTTGGGGTTGTGGTTTGTGTAAGGGCTAGGCTTGGCTTT